GGTCCTGTACCCATTTATTAAACAAATACTTTTTTACTTTAATAGCATATTTATTGTCTCATTAATGAAGGAGAATCGAAAGTAAGCTAAAAACAAATGTACAATTTTATTACTTGCTTAAAATGAAAGGAAAATTTCAAACGCATCATGCTAAAAACATGGTAAGTAATTATTTTTAATATTTCAGTGTTTAAATAATAATCTTACTATGATATGAACAATGAAGTTGCAAGACTGCAGAAATATATGACATAAACTTAATATATTTGGAAAATGACAAGAGAAAAGAAATTGAAGATACATTGTATGAAATTAATGAAGGTATACATGTCAATTGTAATTAAAATTATTTATTAATGGTGATAATACAGATGATGCTGCAGAGAGCAAACGTATAAATGACTTATCAAAAAGTAAGCTGCCTTACAGGTACATGTACAGAAGTAATCTATTTTTAACAATTGCATGCAATTTTAAAAATAAGTTATAGTACACTGTTAATCTATGTTAACACAATCAATAGTTGGTACAAAAGACCCAAAATACTTGATGCCGGATTATATTAACTGACCGGACTGTGGCAATGATGATGATGATGATTTGTTCACACTTTCAACAAAATGGGGAAAAGAATATTTCACTACACACTATCCATCATTTGACCGTTCTAAAAGTGACAGGTAAATTTAAATTTAAAATGTAGAGGTAAAATTAAGATTTTCAATAGAGACTGCCTGTTTGAAAGAGACTTCATTCGAGAAACAGTGAAGAAAATGGAAGTAAGATTAAATACAAATTTACATCCCAATAATGTTCAATTAATCAGCCCACATTGAGACAAATATATAGTGGTGAATGCATCAGTACTTTTATCAAACACAGTGACAACAAATTTGTAATGTCAATTATTAACGATCTTACATGGATTCAACAGGATGATATGGTAAAATGTTGCATAAAACATTTCATACATGTAAATTATAGGTACAAGAACTCATACTTTACCTAATGGAGCTAGAAAGTGATATAAATAAAAAAGCTGGTCCAATTTTGAGTTATACTGGAAGGAAAATTGTTTGGCCTGAAGTAAGACAAATAAGTAGCATTATAATGCTTTCAAGTCAAGATTTTAGATAATTGCCTCCTTAATCATGAGTAAATTTGGAATCAAATATGAAGCAGCTGTAAATTGTATATTAGAAAGCAAGATACCTACTTCTGAACCTACTTACATTAAAGAATAATAAAAATAAAAACTATTATTAGGCCTATTATTATTATTATTATTATTATTATTATTGATGCTGTTATTATTAATTATACATGTACTTATTTATCATTATTATTCTATTATTGTGAAGTAGTAAAGGAATATTATAATTATTATTGTGATCATTGTTGTTATCATTATTATTATATATTATTTATCATTATTATTATATATCATTATTGTGACAGTAAAATTAAAATAAATTGAAATTTGTTACAAAA